GAATTAGTTGGCAGAGTACTGTGTGTATCTGGGGATGGAAGATGTGACAGTCCAGGATTCAGTGCAAAATATTGCACTTATTCCCTGCTTGATAGTGGTAGTGGAAAGTTAATTAACTTCAGTGTTGTACATGTTGGGCAAGTTGAACTGAAATCCACAAACATGGAGAAAGAAGGTCTAAGGCAATGTTTGACAACACTGGACGAACGCTTGAATATTAATGTATTGGCAACAGACAGGCACATACAGGTCGGATGCATGTTACGAAAGGATTATCCGAATATTATCCATCAGTATGATGTCTGGCATGTATCAAAATCATTAATAAAAAAATTATCTGAGAAAGCCAAGTCCAAACAAAATGAGCCCTTAAAACCGTGGATTCAGTCGATCCGAAATCGTTTTTGGTGGTGTGTCACAACATGTGACGGTAATATCATTCTTTTGAAAGAAAAATGGATTTCTGTTCTAAAACACTGTTCTAACATCCATGAGTGGACATCAAATGAACAGTTTCATCAGTGTGAACACCCAAAACTTTCAAAACATGAAGAAGCCCAAAAAATGTGGTTAAAACGTGGGTCTGCAGCATTCCAAGTATTACAAGACATTGTTTTGGATAAATCATTTTTGAAAGTTTTAGAAAAACTTACATTAGCATGTCACACTGGAGACCTTGAAGTTTATCATTCGATGATGCTAAAATAATGTCCAAAACGACAGCACTTTTCATTTGAAGGTATGGTTGCTCGGACCCAGCTTGCTGCTCTTGACCATAACAATGGGGTTGGCAGGGATCAAGCAATAGCATCCAGCGGACCCAATGAAGGCACTTACAAATACAATCAAGTGTTCCCAAAACGAATGTCTGTCTGGGTGGCAAAGCCTATCTTTGAAAAAAAGACCTATGATTTTAAGAGAGATTTGATGGCTAGAACTGTTGAGGTGAGAACTGCTGGAATTGTATTACCAATATTTAATTTACCAGTTGTGCCAGAAAACATTGCTTCTGTGCCTAAGCCGCCTAAGGATGAAACTGTGAGGAAACACAGATCGCGCATGTCTAAATCCATTTTAGAAGAGTCACCAGCCGTATCAGAATTATTTTGTGAATAGTTCACAAAATACTGACATTCTTGTTTATATAAAAGATAAAGTTTGTTTGTTGATTATTTGTGGTTGAACATATAAGTTTATTATAAGTAATTTAATGATTCTATTTAATTTGTATTATGAAATCATAAGGTCTGTTATTAAGTCAAATGGTGTGCTTTGGATTCTCCACTTGTAAGTGACATAAATGTGACATTTTTTTATTAAGATGCATTATGTAAGATTTAGATAAAGAGTTGGCCATTCTCGGCTAATGGTTTAAAAATGAATATATTGAAAATTTGTCTAATTACTGCATTCTGGGCGCTGTTATGACAAGAAATAGTGTAGTCTTGATTGCCAAGCACTATATTCACAAGATAAAAAAAACAAGTCTCGGTTATCTTCAATAAAGGCAGCTATCTAAAAACTTTATTTTTAAATGGTAGTAACATAGTGAATTTTAGAAATTTATTCTGCCCAATTAAAACCAGTATAATGACCAGTTGAAGATGGGAATATTGTCCTTATTTTAGCAACAACACAGGATGGTATTACTTTTCTGATGTGTCTTCCCAATCTTTGATGTATCCAATATATGAACTGTCTGTAGGCTTGGTGTCATAAAACGCTGAAAGAAAAACAAAAAAAATAGGGGTTGTTACATTTTAACTAGGGTAATAATACTATTTGAAAAGGAAAGATGTCTTTGTTATCTGCTCTGCATTGTGTAATCAGATCTATAATATGCACTTATGTCATAGTTATGTACATACATATATACTATTCAAAAAAAGTAGGGGATATTTGATTTTGGGGGCATAATACTAAAATATGCAAATGACTACGAAAAAAGTCACTATAGAACCTAACAGAAGAAACATTTCCAGTTACATGTGACGCCCAAACGCACCAATAGCTACCGCATGGAATGCAGGTGATGCTTGGGATCATCATGGGGGTCCAACCCAAGATTTGCATGACTCTGACTTTGAATGTTACAGTCATTGCGGCATTGAATTCCAGGGTGGAAACATCAGTTTAATTGTTTTAGTGACCAGAAAACAAATTTTGATATGCGTCGGCTTACCCAAAATGAAAGGTTACGTGCCCTTGGCATGCTACAGATCGGCACAACACAGGCGGTTGTGGCGCGGACGATGAATGTTTCTCAGTCTGTCATAAGCAGGCTATGGTCCAGATACCGTGATACACAATCTGTACAGGACAGACCACGCTCAGGTCGACCAAGGGCGACAACTCAAGCCCAGGATCGATTTATCCGTACCTTGGCCTTGAGAAATCGTGTCATCACAGCAAATCAGATCAGCGCTCGTCTTCAAACAGACACTGGTGTGAGAGTGAGTGGCCAGACGATTCGGAATCGACTGCATAGGGGTCACCTTCGCGCCCGACGTTCTTGAGTGATCCCTTGTTTGAGAGATCATCACATTCAGGCAAGACGTCGTTGGTGTAGGGATCGTCAACACTGGGATAATCGACGCTGGAGCAATGTGATGTTTTCAGATGAGTCAAGGTTCACTGTTGATTTTTTGGACAGACGTCGGAGGGTGTGGCGTAGTCGAAACGAGCACTTCCAAGACGTTAACGTCATCAGACATGATCGATTTGGGGGTGGTTCTGTTATGGTGTGGGGAGGCATCACTGTTGCTGGAAGAACGGCTTTACATGTTGTTGCAGTGCGTGTTACAGGCCAGTACTACCGGGACAACATCTTGGCAGTCCATGTTGTGCCGTTCGCACGACGTCATGGCCGCCGTTTCATCTTCCAGGATGACAACGCAAGATGTCACAGGGCCAGGATCGTTACAGGTTACCTCCAACAACAGAACATCACCACATTACCTTGGCCAGCACTGAGTCCCGACCTCTCCCCCATCGAGCATGTCTGGGACATGCTTGGACAGAGGTTACGTCAACGTCAACAACGTCCTGCCAATGTCCAAGAACTTGCTGCTGCGTTGCAACAGGAATGGGACAATCTGGACCAAAATGACCTTAGACGTCTCATTAGGAGTATGCCACGTCGGATCAATGCTTGTTTGGCAAACAGAGGAGGATTTACCCGTTACTGACTTGGTTGTGATGCTGTGGTAACTTTGCTGTTTGACCCCGGGTATCATTTTACCCTTATAATGGTCAGTCTGTGCCTTACTTAGTCTAACGATCATTTGGAATAAATCGATGAATGTGAACTTCATTTCATTTTGTCATTTGTTTCTTCGTCAGTTTCATTAGGTGACTTTAATAACACTTAAAAATCAAATATCCCCTACTTTTTTTGAATAGTATATGTATGAATAAGTTTTATGAATAAGTTTGAATTGAAGATACAACTTTAATACATTTTTAGTATTCTGTATACTTGTATTGTAATGTAAATTGTTTTTTTTTTTCACACCTCATTTGGTGTCACTTGTGTCAAATGAGGTCTATCAACACATTTTGTTTGTATTTTATTAGTATTGTTCTGATAATCTCGTTTGTATGCAATAACGTACCTTTATGAGAGTTTGTTGTAGATGAATCATATTTATTTACAAAAGAAAAACAACCAACCACTGGTTTCCAAGCTGATCTACTTCCAATTTGTTTATTTATAACGTGTTCTTTGATTGGCTAAAGAGTGTTTCCCGTACATATTGTCCAATGAAATGATAGAACAGCAGCCAAAGTATCTATTTATAGTAATGTGAGATAATGTCGCCGAACTGTAACTCGGTAACTATAAACTGAAAGTTAAAACTTACTCATTTGGAATCGGCTGGGCTTTGTTTCCTCGCACATCAGCCCTAGCAATAGCCGAAACTTGAAGGACTTCGGCATTTAAGCAAACTGTACGAAAATCCTCATTTTCTATTACACACAAGGTTGTATGGGCGAGTCGGTGAGAAATAGCGTTGGTTTCCTTGCAGCACACACATTCGTCTGACAATGGCATCGAAGAACAATTAGTGCACAGACACCAGTCTGTATTTCCTACTCGAGTATTATTATCAATAACTTCGTCCTCCGATGTATCGGTATCCGAATCCGTTCGCATTTCACCCGGAGAATATTCTGGCTCAAATTGGTAAGGTGCTATCATAGCGGAGTTCCGAGCAGCCATTACAAACAATGCTGGATACGGCTTTACTTTGTTCGCGAGTGACGTCATAATTCCATCGCGTGATATTCCTGGTTTTCAAAAGAAGAGTTCTATTTGGCAATATGGCGGCGCCCATGGCTCTTACAAATTGTTTTATAATGCCAATTAAAAAAAAAATAAAAACAGTTTCTTGACGGGAATTGCGGGGCTTATTTGTATGAATCAAATACTTGCTTTAATAAATATTTCCATGAATAATGGAGTACTCCTTTAATATCCGATTGACTTTAAATTTATACACAGTGTTTAAGGTCATGAGACAAAAAACCCTATTGACTTTGAATTTATACACAGTGTTTAAGGTCATGAAACGAAGAAGCCTATTGATTTTCAGTGATTTCCTATAATTACTGCCAGAGTTATGGCCCTTGATCACTTTGAAAAATCTTGTGACGCTCTAGAGGCCAAAGTTATCATCCGATTGATACACAGAGTTTAAGGTCTTGAGACAAACAAGTATATTGATTTTCAATGAATCTTTTTGACTTGAACAGCTAAAGCCATGATGTTAAAAATTTCGTATACTAAACGTTAGCATGGGGCAGAACTTTATAAAAAACAAATAAATTCTAATGGTTTTCTGATAATTAATGAGTTGTTAATCAGATTTTAATCTATTATAAATGTTTCATTACCGAAAAAAGTAAAAATATGCGACAACTCTTGTTGCCTGCCAGGACGATATAGCTGCTGTGGGCGTATGTTTCATTGCCTGGCAACCTATCTTTGTTTTTTGCAGGGAAAATATATTCGATATGACTGCATGTTTAATTGCCTGTGGTGTTGATCTGCAAAGTAGCATTTTATTTCAACAATCATCTGTAAGTTAATTCAATGTAACAATATCAGTTTTATTTGTTGTTGTATAATTGAACTTTTCAAAAAAATGTTCATATACCAATTATTGTTCAATATCAATAGTAGATGAATCCAAATAGTGTTACTGAATATATTCTATTCATGTACCTCAATTTGTTTTATGGAGTATTTTTGCATTGTAATATATTAAATTTTATCTTGGATGTTGTTGATTTAATGTTGAAACAAAATTATTACATTCTTTTAGTGGGAGAGAAGATGAAGCCCAAATATCATCAGTTAGTAATGTGCCGATAACAGATGTTGTCAGCAAAACTTTTTGGCCGATACAATAATGATATAGATAAATAAACTGTAAACTATCCCACTTTATTTTCTCTAATCGAAGCTAATACACACCAATTTAATTTTTCTCCAATTAACAAAAAGCTTCTAAAATGGAACTTGCACATGAGTTCTCATTGCTTTCTACATCGCTAACAGAATTGTTCTTTTTGGCGAGTCACGTGGGAAAATAATAACATGGAGACCATATACCTACCTGTATTCCATATAGGTATCGATCCTACGCCTATGTAATTTAAAATACTGTTTTATAAAGAAGACAAACAATGTTTCGACATCACGAACTATGCTTTCATTTTCTGACGTATAAACAAACAATATTTCGACATCACTAACTATTCTTTCATTTACGGACGTATAAATGAAGAAATGTAATTTTGGAGGAATATTACTGACATGGATTTGAAGCGGGTATGGATCAGTCGCTTTCATTCTATTGTGTTACAAAAACACATAATTTTTTAGGAATATTATTGACATAAATTTGAATACCGTACAGGAATTAGATATGAATATATCGCGAGGTGTACATATTTTTGTATTCAGAACACATGCTAACGATTTCTTTCAGTGGACAATTTTATCACGTATGGTCCTGATTTACAGTGTGTTGCATCACGCGCATGTCTACATTATTGTCATTAGTTACACGTCTGCTTTGAACATCCAGATGCAATAAAGCCGCCATCATCTTTATTATGTGGTATTTAGGGCTAGATATACCACATTTGGCGACGAAGGTGCCAATATTTTTGACAGTGGTTGGTCCACAGACATATGGTTTGTTGAAAAATTTATTATTCCCGGTTCTGCCCAGTACACATACTTACGATGTTTTGATTGATACGTTGAAGAGACAAAATGAAATGAAATGGGGTGTAACGTCCTACTGTTCTGCTCCTAACCTGGGCTAATGAAGACGGGCATTCGCCATACAGTGTGCTATGAGGGAAGATTTGCCCGGGCAGCGGCACTATCGCCTACTCTTATATCGAATTCCAACTGCCAAGGGATCTTTTACGTGCATTCCAATGTATACACAGGACCTCGGTTTTTCGTCTCATCCGAAAGACTAGACAGCTGTCCTTCTCAGGCCCTCTGTCCTGCATCACTGACGAGGGGGAACCACGCCGAAAAAATCGGCATGAACTTTCTCGGCCAATGCAGGGATCGAACACCCGACCTCCAGGCTTGCGAGCCAGCGCCTTACCCACTTAGCCACGTGGTCCCCGTTGAAGAGACACTTCATACCAACACCGTTCGTTATTGCAGAACAATATAAATTTCATCGTCGAGACCAAAATGATGGCGAATCAGTAGCTGACTATATGGTAGCTTTGAGAAAATTGTCAACTCATTGTGATTTTGGAGATTTTTTAAATCAGCTGTTCGAATATTTAGGTCAAATTTGTAAATTTTGAAAATTAAGGAAATAAATTGTCTTGTAAACAACTTTGTCGTACTTACTTTGATAGTAGGTATAGTATCCATGTCTGTTCTTTGTTCCAACAACTCCTGCTGCTGCTTTAATATCCTCTCTCATTGTGAAATAAGCCTCCTTTGGAATTAAAATTCTCTTGCAAACTTCATATTTCTTGTAAAGCTCTGCTTTAAACTGATTTTCGTAAGATTCTGCCATGATATCAAGTAAATTGTTTCAATGGAATTTAGTAATTGAACTGGAATATACTGGTCACAATTCTATGGAATACAGTTACTACTTACACTGAGAACTACTAAGTGGCCAATCTGTGCACAGCCCTTATAGAAAATTATGTCTTGGGCGTTATCTCTACGTCTATCGAAAGAAAATTAATTTTCCGACTATTACTCGGTATTACCGCGTTTAAACTGTAAATAAGGTGTGTTAATTAACGAGGGTGAAAAACTGTCCGAGAGGTGAGTTAATTAACGCTAGGGGTGAAAAACTGTGCGACGGTGCGTTTTCAGTAGAGGTGTGTTAATTAACCGACCGGTAAAAAATGAATGTCAATGTTGTGTATTGTTTAATTGGCGTGTTTTCTTGCTAGTTGTGATAACTGCACCAAAAGGAGTACAATCAAGGATCAACAGGCTTTATCTGACACATACGTGTTAAATCAAAATTTGGGAAGTAAAACTGTTTTACCATGCGATTTATCATTCAACCGTGTGTTTTACGTAGGTCTTTGTATAATTAAAGACAGGTCTTTAGATAGGCATGTGTGCTCGCTATGATCTACGTTTAACCCTTTTGTATTGCGTATTATAAGTTGCATTTAATGAAATAAAAATATGGACCTTAATCTATCGTATACGGATAGGCGAATATAATGTTGTCATTTATAAATACCGACAAGTCAGCGCCCAATTTGAATATCCACGGGAATATAAAGAGTAAATCCAGCAACAACAACCGAACTATCGAACTATATTTCTACTTTATTATTAAAAGACGCGCACTCACCGTTTGACATTTATTAAATTTATAAAAACGTGCCATGATGCGTAAATTGTGCATCTTACCTTCAATAGCAATATCCATAAAACAGAAATCTCCATATTGATAAATAATACGGCACAACCAACCGAACAGTGGTAATTTCCACACAAATGATATATTTAAACTAAAATTACTTTAGCTTTTCACTAAATTTATATCGCATACAATCCAATGATCCTCATTCCAGAACTTGTAATTTATTATAGCCGCTTTTATGCAATTACAGAATTGTCCCGTGATCTAACATATCAAAGAAGCACATACGCCCGATATGACACGTAATCATTTTTCCAGACCTTGTAGATTCGCTTCCTTGTTGTGTTTTCTTCGTGATCCTAATATATAAAACTACAGGTTAAATGGTTTCTTCAACTTTATTATTAAGCTGGATTGGCTTCAAAGGTCCCTCGTTCTCAATAAATTTTAGCTGCTTGGAATACCTGGGTGAGCTCTGATCAGTCTCACTCAACAATCTCTTTTATAACCCCATAATTTCTGCACGTCCTAGACTGACCTTGACTTTAATTTCCACCCCAAATATGGAATAAACCTCCCCATTTCCCAAGACTAGGGGGGGGGGGGGGCATTACCCTATTTGGTCTACCAACCATATGTCATAAACAGATAGAATTTGATGGATATTTTGACAATGGTTAGGATTTTACCAAAATATTACTTTTTTTTTTACATATAAACATGTTCGCTTTTATTAGTACGTGGGATTTGACTCTATAGAAAGAGTTAACCAACAATTTTTCAAAGACCCAATATTGTCTTAAGGACCAAAGTCTTACAACTTGTCTTCTTTTCTTTCGACTATACCTGGCGTTTATACTGCGTACCATATAGTCACGCTACTTATAGATAAAGTTTCATTTAATAAAATAAAAATATTGACCATAATCTATCGCACGAAATGCAATGTCGTCATTTATAAATATCGAACAGGTGAGCCCAATTTGAATATCCCCGGGTATATATAGTGAATAAGTCAAATTTGCCATATGTAAATATACTGTCTTCTTATTCTTACGACGGGCACCTGAAATAACCCAGCCACATCAGAAAGCATTATCAGGTTTTTTTTATAATCATTTTAGACAGTTTCATTTGATTAAACGCGCAAGTTCACATATTGACCTTTGATTGATGGTATGCATTGGAGGCCGAGCCGTTGGCGCCGAAATGAAATCCAGTGGATTCAGCGAAGATTTTAAAGTTCCATAAACTTATAATTACTGAACGATGTTAATTGGTTGTTAATTTTGTTTATAGATTTATTAATTGACTGTTTTCGCTAACTTAAAAAATCGTGCAAACTGAAAAATAAGGTAATTTAATTATGGTTAAAATTTTTTATGGCATGTAAATAGAATACATACAAACGTGTATAGTAAAATTTACTGCAACCAGTAACAAACTATCTCTTGATACAGGCGTATCTGTTTTATGGAATAATCTACCATTTAGTTTAAGATGTTGTACATATCTATATTCTTTTAAAAAAACTATTTTAAACACAGTTATTTAAACGGGCTTTTAACCGACGCTACATGTCCATAATCTTGATTTTTTTAAGATTAAATTGTCACTTTGTAAAGTGTCGCTAAGTAAGTTACATGGAAGGGCGCGCACTATATAATAATATATAGTAACAAAATTTCGATTAATATATAATATATAGTAACAAAATTTCGATTAATAATATTAATATTACTTTGTCCCCTTTATTTGCAAAACATCTCTCCGATGATAATAATAAATTTGAATTACTTCTCCGTACCAGTTGGAAACGTAATTGTCTGAGGTCTAAATGAAATGTGAAGTTTAATCAAATATAAAATTACAATGCTGTTTGTTTCAAAGCTGCGTTCGTTGGGGGTCACGGTGGCTAAGTAGGTAAGACCCTGGCTCGCTAGCCTGGAGGTTGGCTTTTCGATCCCTGCATTGGCCGAGAAAGTTCAGCCAGATATCCCTGCGTGATTCCACTGTCAGTGATGCAGGACGGAGGATCTGACAAGAACAGCTATCAATTCTATTTATACATGTAAAGGCGTGCATGACCTTATTTTCACGTATTGGAAAACTGTTCGGTTGCTTTATTTGAGAAGATACTGATATTAAATTATAAAATTTGTCAATTTTTTTGTTGAAAATTCTGATATATTGGTAGCTCTTCGGGAAGTGTTGATCATATCGCCTAACATGTTTGTGTATTGTACGTTTTTATAATAGCTAGCAAATAATTTATAATATTTGAATACTTTCTGAAAGAACATATAGCTCGTTATAGTCGTTCGGATGGGAAGAAAACCTGAGGTCCCGTGTACACATTGGCGTGCACGTAAAAGATCCCTTAGCAGTTGGTATTTGATATAAGAATAGGCCGTAGTGCCGCTGTCCGGGCAAAATTTCCCTCAGAGCACACTGTATGGAGTATGCCCGTCTTCATTAGCCCAGTTCGGAGCAGAACAGTAGGACGTTAAACCCCATTTCATTTCATTTCATTTCAAAACTGCGTTAGGCTGTTCATCTAATTAATGTGATTTATATTTGATATCTGTGATATCCGACTATCATATTATTATTTATCAATATGGAGATTTCTGTTTTATGGATATTGCTATTGAAGGTAAGATGCACAATTTACGCATCATGGCACGTTTTTATAAATTTAATAAATGTCAAACGGTGAGTGCGCTTCTTTTAATAATAAAGCAGAAATATAGTTCCATTGTTGTGGCTGGATTTACTCTATATTCCCGTGGATATTCAAATTGGGCGCTGACTGGTCGGTATTTATAAATGACAACATTATATTCGCCTTTCCGTATACGATAGATTAAGGTCCATATTTTTATTTCATTAAATGCAACTTATAGTACGCAATACAAAAGGGTTAAACGTAGATCATAGCGAGCACACACGCCTATCTAAAGACCTGTCTTTAATTATACAAAGACCCACGTAAAACACACGGTCGAATAATAAATCACACGGTAAAACAGTTTTACTTCCCAAATTTTGATTTAACACGTACGTGTCAGATAAAGCCTGTTGATCCTTGATTGTACTCCTTTTGTGCAGTTATCACAACTAGCAAGAAAACACGCCAATTAAACAAAACACAACATTGACATTCATTTTTTACCGGTCGGTTAATTAACACACCTCTACTGAAAACGCACCGTCCCACAGCGTTAATTAACTCACCTCTCAGACAGTTTTTCACCCTCGTTAATTTACACACCTTATTTACAGTTTTAACGCGGTAATACCGAGTAATAGTCGGAAAATTAATTTTCTTTCGATAGACGTAGAGATAACGCCCAAGACATAATTTTCTATAAGGGCTGTGCACAGATTGACCACTTAGTAGTTCTCAGTGTTATTACTGAGTGATGTTTCAACTAGGCTTTTCTAATCATTATCACGCAATGATAAAATATGAAATATAACAAGACAATATATCCATGTAAACAACAATATGTGGTTAATGTTGACCAACCAGAGACACCCTTCTAATTACCTCGAAGGAAACCTAACTAAATTACAGTAATGTAATTATTGTGAGTGATCAAGGTTGATAAAGGTAATACTAATGACAACATCCAATATGACATAGACCATCTACCTGAAAATAAAACACAATGCTTAATGGATAATTTGTTTTGAAGTATTGACAATGATTTTTAAAATTATCAGGTTTTTAGATATACAACACCCTGAAAGAAGATTAAATTTAATTAATATTGTTAGTGAAAAATGTGGATACATGCATAAAGATTTAACATGATTTCACTTAAATACAAACACCATTAGAACTGTAATATATGTTGTGCATCACGTATGGTCCCGATTTACAATGTGTTGCATCACGCGCATGTCTACATTATTGTCATTAGTTACACGTCTGCTTTGAACATCCAGATGCAATAAAGCCGCCATCATTGAAACACCATCTTTATTATGTGGTATTTAGGGCCAGATATACCACATTAGGCGACAAAGGTGCCAATATTTTTGACAGTGGTTGGTCCACAGACATATGGTTTGTTGAAAAATTTATTATTCCTGGTTCTGCCCAGTACACATACTTACGATGTTTTGATTGATACGTTGAAGAGACAAAATGAAATGAAATGAAATGGGGTTTAACGTCCTACTGTTCTGCTCCTAACCTGGGCTAATGAAGACGGGCATACGCCATACAGTGTGGTATGGGGGAGATTTTGCCCGGGCAGCGGCACTATCGCCTACTCTTATATCGAATTCCAACTGCCAAGGGATCTTTTACGTGCATTCCAATGTATACACGGGACCTCGGTTTTTCGTCTCATCGTCTCATTGTCAGGCCCTCTGTCCTGCATCACTGACGAGGGGGAACCACGCCGGAAAATCTGGATGAACTTTCTCGGCCAATGCAGGGATCGAACACCCGACCTCCAGGCTTGCGAGCCAGCGCCTTACCCACTTAGCCACGTGGTCCCCGTTGAAGAGACACTTCACACCAACACCGTTAGTTATTGCAGAACAATATAAATTTCATCGTCGAGACCAAAATGATGGCGAATCAGTAGCTGACTATATGGTAGCTTTGAGAAAATTGTCAACTCATTGTGATTTTGGAGATTTTTTAAATCAAGCTCTTCGTGATAGGCTAGTGTGTGGCTTGAAAAACGAAGTTATACAGAAGAGATTGTTGACGACAGTAGGCCTAACGTTGAGAATGGCAACAGATACTGCACAGGCTATGGAATTAGCTGAGAAGGATTCAATGGAACTTGGGGGGTTGGATAGCCGAATGGTTAACACATACGTGCTGTATCATAAATCCTGTCATTGAGTCAACTGGCGTGGTTTCGAATCCCCGGTTGTACGTGACAAGGAGTAGGGTTGCCTGTCAGACCTCGTGGGTTTTCTCCGGGTCCTGCGGTTTCCTCCCACTGCTAAAGACCCCTACGCGCAAGCGAATTATTGAAATAAAATTAAACCATATGTTAGTCCCAAAATGACCTAGTTTGTGTCGAGTGGACGTTATACCCCATTTCTCTCTCTCTCTCTCTTTCAATGGAACTTAAAGGGACAACGTCACCAGCTGTCAGTGTAAACAAGTTACATAGAGGAAAATAAAAAAAAAAGCAAGTAAATCAACTTCTTATGGTTATAGTACAGGTGGTTACAGCGGTAATCAGAAATCAACATCTTATGGTTATAGACCTTTCCGGTAATTGAGTTGTCTCCCCTTTGTAGAGGGCGCCATGTAATCAGCTCCTAACTTCCGGGGTGTTTGTGCCGGCTAAAACAAAACAAAACAATGGCGAACAACGAAAGCATCGATGCGAATCTGACCAAGTTAACTGTTACACAGCTCAAAGATTTCCTCCGTAAGCGAAGCCAGCCAGTTTCCGGAAATAAAAGCGAGTTAATAAGTCGCGCAGAAGGAGCAAACAAGCTTGGATTGGTTGATTTGAATGTAGTTAGAGAGGAGGATAAAAAACAACAAATATCGCGTGATCAGTCTAAATTGACAACACCACTTTCGGAGACGCTACCACATCCCCGTGATTTAAAAAACTGGACCAAAGACTTGAATTTTGTTCCTGATTTTTCCCACAACGAAATATATAATTATTTGGTTTTAAAAATGAACAGCAAGAAGCAAATGAAGTCTAAAGTGTTTTATGAAGACGGCCATGTACACAACATTAAAGTAAATAATGTGAACGAAAATAGCAGTCATTGTTATGTCAAGGCAAAAGTCTTGCCTTCATTACCAACTGCAAATAAAAAAGACAGCCCAGATTATGATGTGTGGGTTATGATGTCCAATGTGACCGGCTGTGTAAACTCGGCGGAGTGTAACTGTACTGCTGGGTAAGTTTACATTTCTAGTACTTCATAATAATTTTCTTTAAGTTGTAGTGAAAATGAAATCATAATGGATTTTAACGTCCTACAGTGTGCTATGAGGGACATTTTTCCCAGACAGCGGCACTACCGTCTACTCTTATAATATTATATCGAATGTAGATATTCTTGAGGAATGCATAATTAGCCATAGCACAGTGAAATGAAATGGGGTTTACATCCCACTGTTCTGTTCTGCTCCTATACTGGGCAAATGAAGACAGGTATGTGCCATGCAGTGTGCTGTAAAAGGGAAATTTTGCCGGATAGCGACCCTAAAGCCTACTCTTATTTCGAATTCCAACTGACAAAGGTTTTACACATAGTTAAGATTGAGTGAATTATTAGTAATATTTATACATCTATATTTCAGAGAGGGGGAGTCATGTAACCACATTGCCGCACTACTGTATGCCATCTCGGACATCGCTACAAAAAGAAAGGAAGGAAAACTGGCCCCAACTTCCAGTAAGTGCAAGTGGAACAATCCTCGAAAGAGAAAACTCAGTCCCAAAAAAGCACAGGAGATGAAATTTCAAAAGTATTCTTTTAAAGGTCAGCCCCCCTCAGTGAAACCTATCAAGATGCAGGACACAGGCCAATGTTCAGTGAACACAGAGAGATTTCGTCAGAAATTAATACAAAACCATTCCAGTGCTGGGTGGCTGACAAACTTTCCAGCTGGGAATGGAACTGGCCGCCCTGTACCTGTACTACCTGTACTCCACTCAATATCATTTCAATATTCAGATGTTGTGGACTTAAAAAATCATACCTGTAAAGATATGTTCAGCAAATATTTTGAACAGTTAAAAGTTACCGAAAAGGACTGTGCTGTTATTGAATGCTTGACTAGGCAACAGTCAGACTGCTCTAAATGGAAAATTGCCAGGGAAGAGAGAATTACAGCCTCTAACTTTGGCAAGGTTGTGAAACAGAAAGTCTGTACACCGCCAGATTCAATACTGAAGGACTTGCTGGGTACCGTTTGTATGACTCTGCCTTTCTTAGTTATGAAAGAAATCACGAGAAGGCAGCTCGACGGACATACACTTCCCAAATGAGGAAATCTCACCCGGGTCTTTCCGTCAAAGATTGTGGGCTATTTGTCAACACAAAATATCTGCATTTAGGGGCAAGCCCGGATGGGCTAGTGTACTGTCCGTGTTCCTTGTGCAAATCAGCCGGATATGGTCTTGTTGAAATTAAGTGTCCTGCTTCCATGAAATGGAGAATGCTTCCACCCCAAGAGTGCGCTAAAGACCCACATTTCTTTTGTAAAATAAATGAAGATGGAAAGGTTGTGCTGAAGACAGGGCATACTTACTATCATCAAGTTCAGGGGCAAATGGCTGTCACAAATAGAAAATGGTGTGATTTTGTTGTGTGGACATGCAGCGGGAAAATTTCGGTTGAGAGAATAGTTTTCGATCCAAATTTTTGGGCGGAAATACTAACAAAACTAAACAAGTTTTATGTAGAATCTCTTCTTCCCGAATTATTTTCATCTCGTGTGCTAAGAGGTTTGCCATTGTTCAGGTAGAATATTCTTAATTCTCTAGATTAGTTGTCCAAAGCCATCACTGTTACATGTTATTAAAATTATGTATTAAAATCAATGAAATCCTACCTACTCAGCAAATTGTTTCTTTTTATTCATGAATCAAAGACATTAAAATAATCTGTGATTTAAGGCTGTATTTGCGACGTCATGTCATATCATTTTTTTTACTCCTAGTACAACAGTGTCCCCTTGCCTGCTGATGTGGCTGATGCACCGCCTAACCTTGCCACCCCGTCATGTAACTTTCCTTATAAAATATATGAGAGAGAGAAAAAAAATATATCAAATTAGATCAGGTCTTTATTTTTATAGAATTGCTGTAGATGAAAGCACTGATAACAAATAAATAACATTTTTAAAACATTTAAAGCTGGTAGTCTGTTCTGAATATTACACTTATGTAACACCATTGGACAGTTTTTGATAGCGCTCATTTCTGTACAGTTCTCAAATAGTCTAAAATAGCCTTTTCACTTCTGCTGAGTTAAGTTATTGTCTATCACCAAGGGTGGTTGCAAGTTTGTAAGTCGAGCACATAATTTCCACACCATGGAAATATTCTGAGCCATAGTGATTGGCATAACGCCTTGTAAAATTCTAACATTTTTAATTCTTGCCATTTGTCACTCCACATGAATCCTGGCATTTGCAATGTCCCGTGTCTTCTGTACATCTCTTTTAGAAAATTGGGCCTTTTTACCTCTAAAGGGGGGGATAATTAAATGTACCCCCAAGGGAGTGGTCAAGTCAGCTATCGTAAAACCTTTGTCAGCCATTATTCCATCACCTGGTTCACATAACTCCAGTATTCCTGATTGTTTTGTGATCTGTTTATCACTAACACTTCCACACCATAAATCAGATAGGAATGTTACTACACCTACTGGGCTTATACCAACTAATGCTTTCCATGTCATGTGGGACTTGTTGTCACTGTATAATAGAGACTTCAACTGAAGCGAGCTTGGTGTTTCTGTCCTGATTTCTGTACAATCGATCACAACTCGAGTTGTCGGAAACTTCCTTTGAAAAACTTCAGGCATGTTCTGCTCAATACATTCTTTGTCTGTCCATTGGACCAAAAAAGATAGCTGATTGTCCAGATAATCAATCCACCGATTGAAAATATCACCACATGTTGTTTTAGAAATACAAAACCTTTCTGCCAGATCTTCTATTAGAAGCCCCAATCTCAGCCTCATCATAACAAGAAAAAACTCATCAATTAATCGTAAGGCTCTGGGTCGTCCACTGGTGGTGGGTACTTTACATGGAGTTTTCCGGGAGGTTTTGGTTTCTGCGTCATCCTTCAATTCATCAAATATGGCATCAAATGTCTTTTTATCAGGGATTCCTGTGTAGAAAAACACTTTGCTATCTTCTGAACAAACATCATCATATGTAAGCTGTGGTGAGGACACTTGCACCGAAAAATCACACGTTGAGTTTTCTGTTTGCGTTGATCTGTCGACAAGAAGATGAACAGCCGCTGAACCTTCAGTTTGGGTTGCAAAATTTTTTGTGTTTGGTACACTCTGTGTCAGTTGATGACGAATAACCGATACCTGTGGGGCATGCATTGGATTCACATAATCATGGAACTTTAGTGAAATGTCTAACATTGAGTCTGATGGCGATGTCAAAAATGAGCTTTCTGTTGATAAGTCATCCCCGTCTGTTGTGTTACTGGGACTAACATTCAAATCAACCACGTCTTCGTCTAAGTCTTTCTCCACAAAATTCTCATTCAGCTTCTGAAAAAAATAATTACAACCATGTATTACCAGTCACGTGCATAGGCTATCCTCGACATGTTTGAAAAGAAAGCAAACGCCAGACAAATAATTAATACATTAACAAATTTATAATATTTTTATTTTACCATATGGTAATGTCATATAGAAATTAATTCCAAATTATGATGGTTAAATTGAACTAAGAGCATGTATGCGAGAAATTTGATAATTGGTGTTCTAAAAAAAATTAAAAAAAAAAAAATTCTGCGACACCGTGTCCTGCCAATATAATTTATAACAAAAAAATACAATCAAGAAGTGAACCCCATTGAATAATATATGAAGACTCACCGTGATTTTAAAAATCTTCGTTGGGAACACAGATGGGATGGCGAACAATGGACTCGGTCCATTTCTGTCGGCAAAATGATCGGAGCACAGCAGAGTATTATTTGTCAGCTTGAAGTCGGAACGGATCAGGCGACATCTTTGTATCCAAGTTCGTTTAACCTTCTCGTTTACCGGGAATCTGTGCAACGAAATAGTCTTTCCATCGACTAACTTTCTACGAAAATTACTGCAAATGCAGCAATACTTTCGAGATTTTGCAGGCATAACGCAAGAATCAAAGAGTAACACTTTTCTTAGAATTTGGAAACTTGTAAGACTGGCGGCCACTACTTGTTGTTATGTGGTTGCTAGCTTGACGATAGTCCACGGAAGTAGCGAGTCGTCGATGGGCATGCGCACAATACCAAAATATGGCTTCCGTCTAGGGGGAGACAACTGAATTATCGGAAAGGACTATAGTACAGGTGGTTACAGCGGTAATCAGAATAAAACGTCAGTTTTCTACAAATAATCTACCAGCCGAAGAATTTGGGTTATGGTCCATTTACTTTGGTGAGAGTTTTAAAGACATACTCGGGAGAAGTTTTGAATTTGATGGGTGAATTGGAAGTGACAGTTACGTATAAAATAATCAGACAGTTGTTTTGCCAGTTGTCGTAGTTAAAGGTGCTAACCTGGCAGCACTTATAGGAAGAAACTGGTTACAAAAACTGAAGCTGAATTGGTCGAATATTTTTAGAGTACAAGCTGAGTTTGATATTCAACCTTGGATTAAGAAGTTTCCTACGGTTTTTGCAGAAGGTTTTGGAGTAATTAAAGGTCACAAGGCTAATATACGTCTGAAAGACACGGCGACACCAATATTTTATAAACCGCGACCGATACCATACACGCTTAAAGAGACGGGGGAAAGGGAACTGGATCGATTGGAAAGTAGTGGTGTAATTTCCTCCCACTGCTGAAGACCCCTATGCGCAAGCAAATTATTGAAATAAAATTAAACCATATGTTAGTCCCGAAATGACCTAGTTGTGTCGAGTGGACGTGAAACCCCATATCTCTCCTCTCTCTCTATAAAGTGGATAGTAATGGTATTCATCCACTAGCTGAAAAAGTGGAGGCGATTAATAATGCGCCAGTGCCTACAAACGTTTCAGAGTTAGTCATTTCTTGGACTTATTAATTATTATGGGAAATTTCTACCCAACTTATCAACCATGCAAAACCCCTTGCATGAACTTTTGCAGAAAGATACTCCTTGGTTCTGGTCAGAGGAATGCGATAAAGCTTTTATGATCTGTAAACAGAAGTTGACAGATACCAAGTTATTAGTTCATTATGGCGTGAATAAACTGCTTAAAATCCCTTGCGATGCGTCATTGTATGGGTTAGGTAGTGTTATTTCTCATGTTGATAAAGAAGGCAACGAGTAACCGATTGCTTTTGCATCGAGAACTTTGAATCCGATGGAAAGAAACTATTCACAACTGGAGAAAGAAGCGCTTTCAATTATATATGGCAAAAAAAAAGTTTCATCAATATCTTTATGGCCGGACGTTCATATTGGAGACTGATCATAAACCACTTACAACTATTTTAGGTCCTTATACAGCTGTACCTACTCTTGCAGCTGCGCGCTTACAAAGATGGGCATTGATTTAATCAGCATATATCAATATCAAATCGTATACAGATCATCTGTTGAACACGGTAATGCAGACGCACTTTCGCCTAATCCTTTGGAGGTTGTTCAGGACGATTCATCGGAGTCGGACTTGTTTTATTTTTCATATGTAAATGAATTACCGAAAAACAGTCATCAAATTAGTGAGGCTACACGAAAGGACAGAGTCTTGTGTAAAGTTTTAGAGTATGTTAAAACTGGGTGGTTTAGTTTTATAGAAGACCCTGAGTTAAAGCCCTATTTCATTCGCAGAAATGAACTTAGTACCGATCAGAACTGTATTCTGTGGGGTATGCCTGTTATAATTCCTGGCAAGTTTCAGCAGAGACTTTTAGATGATTTACACAAAGTACATCCTGGGATGTGCCGTATGAAATCTCTTGCACGCAGTTATTTATGGTGGCCTAATCTTGACAACGATATAGAGAAAAAGGTTCGCGGTTGTTAAGTGTGTGTATCTGTACGTAAAAGCCCTCCGTCATCACCATTTTTACCGTGGAAATGACCAAGCCGTATTTGGCAGCATTTACATATTGATTATGCCGAGTTTCAGAAACAAAATTACTTGATAGTCATTCTAAATGGTTAGAAGTTTTTAACATGCCTTCAACAACTTCTGCTAAAACGATAGAAGTATTACGTACTCTGTTTTCGTCATACGGTATTCCAGTTTAAAAGTGCAGAATTCGAACAGTTTATGATAGGCTATATAATGGTATTCGTCACATATGTACACCGCCGTACCATCCCGCATCAAATGGTGCTGCCAAACGTTCTGTGCAAACAGTGAAACAGTCCTTGTTAAAGCAAGTACTTCAAAGTAATACTAATACAAAGGAATCGTTGCAAGGAAAGTTAGATAACTTTTTATTGATGTATAGAGTTTCTCCACACAGTGTTACAGGAGTAGCTCCAGCCGAACTGTTTAAGAGGCAACTGAGAACTAGATTTTGTATGTTAAAACCAGTCATGCATAAAACAGTTGAGTCTAAACAAGAAAGTCAAATTAAAGCGCACAATGTTAAAGTTAAAGATCGCGAGTTTCATGAAGGACAACTTGTCTACATTAAAAATAATCGCGAAGGAGTAGTTAAATGGATTCCTACTAAAATTACGAGAAAACTCGGGTTACAAACTTTTTTAGTTAGAGTTAATGGTAAAATCAGATATGTTCATGTTGATCATTTGTTACCGTCACATGCGATCGATCGTAAAATTCCAGAAATGGTTACAACTAAAACTGATGCGCCGAAACGTAATAGAACTGATGATTACATGTGGCCTGTTCCAGATATTAATCGACCTAATGATAATGTTGCTGAACATCAACAACCTAATGCAGCAATAGCCAAACCAAGACGTTCTTCAAGACCAAGACATAGTCCACAGAAACTGAAACTATGAACTTATTGTTTGGATGTGTTTTATAGGACTGTGTTGTTCTAAAAAGTTTTCAATGTGTTCTTTTGTTTTGCAGGTCTAAAGTAAACACTAAATGATACTAACAAAGGAAATTTAAAGTATAAAGTATCAATTTAGTTAAATTGTATATTGACACTTGTATATTGTGTTGCATCATGCGCATGTCTACATTATTGTCATTAGTTACACGTCTGCTTTGAACATGCAGTTGCAATAAAGCCGCCATCATTGAAACACCATGTGCTTGTCTGAGTCTTTATTAATTATGTGGTATTTAGGGCCAGATATACCACAAGAACAAAGACCCAACAAACCTTCAATGGTCCCCTAAAGGCCGGTTAATTAAATCAGTGAGTATTATTTACTCTGGAATTTATAGTGATTCCTTCAGATTGAAATCATATCATTCATCTATTAAAATGGCAAACTAAAAACAGGTTTTTAGAAGGGCATGATTTAAACTTAAAAGTTCATTAAATTTCAATAAAAACATCCATTCTACAGACCTAATGCCCTGGAAAGCGAAATAAAAACTAAAAATCAATATTAAATTATTTTTTTTTAAAGTTTATGTTGTAATTTTATGTGTTAGGCCTACACATATTGCCTGATTTGCAAAATCTGCAATCAGGCATTATGTGTAAAAAAGAGTAGGAATTTTAGTCATTTCATGTAAAGTCTGGAATTTTCAGTCATTACACGTATTGCCTGGTGCTCACAGGCTCTTCATGAAATGACTGATTCGTTTAATCATTACGCGAAATGACTGATTACACAGATTGACTGTAACATATATATTAACTAGAGTGTATGGTGGTCAAGTGATCACGTTCCGACTATGGAGGTTGGCAGCCATTTTACAACCGGGAAGATTTAGCCTACATTGGCATATACCAACATGCCGGAGAGTTGTTGTTGTTTTGGTTAATTCAATGTCAGGCGAAAAGGGAGTGGATTATCATTTCATAAGTTATAGGCATGATAAGTTACAAGTGATCTAATAGAAATAGTATAATCATGAAAACAGTGTAAAATAAACACGACGAGAAGACATTGAACACTCGAAGCTTGAGGCCGGAAACCGGGCGGATCCATTCACTTAATTTATTAGTACTGATACTTTCATTATGTAATAATTACAATGTCTGTGTGCTTAGCGAACTTCCAAATTAATGTATATTTAATTATTATGGAAATTGCGCATATTATATATACATACACATTTGGCATTGTACGAAAAATATCGCGGGGAGTAAGTCTGCTTATTGGAGTGGAGTGTTTAGTCACAGACATGCACTCACTGGCCAGTAGTTGCTTTGTTATCGGTTAGTTTTACTCCCTTGGATTTAATTAATTAGGCTGACATTGTCTACACAGATGTACAGAATAAATTGAAAGATTCTTGCAATATCAGTTTATGTTTCTTTTTTTTTCTTCAGAAAACCTGCTTAAACCCCCGAACTAGTTAAAATATGGTTAATAATATTAAGGACAAAGTCGTGAAAACTTCATTCCCAGTCAAATTTTGTAAATAAATTAGGCCTGATATTTTTTTTAATCGATGCTACTACTAAAATCTCATTAAGTTAGTCTTATTTTTTTTGTAAAATTTAATATACCACTGTATTTTCCAACCAAAGAAAAATCAGACACCAGATCGTGGAAATTTAAAACCATATAGGCCTACTAAGGCCTTGCTTGCCCTGTTTATATTTTCCTTTTTTTTAAAATATTTCCCATCGGCATCAGATATTATTCTATTGGTAAATGATAGAAGTATTATTTATTTATTTATCACCCGTTATCATCTGGATGATGTTATAGTTATCTGTCAATCAAGCATTCCTTTCATTTCAGGGGGATCACGTGGCTAAGTGGGTTAGGCGCTGGCTCGCTAGCCTGGAGATCGGGTGTTCGATCCCTGCATTGGCCGAGAAAGTTCATCTCGATTTTCCGGCGTGGTTTCCCCTTGTCAGTGATGCAGAACGGAGGGTCTGACAAG